TTCTATCTTAATTACCTTTTTTTATTAATTACTACTATTACTGAAATATTTTTTAGTTTCTTGTAATAGACTTTCAATTAAGTAGATTGTTGTTAAAGCGATTTAAGAGGATTTCGCACAAGGAAGCATGAAGCGAAGCGCTACGTGTGAGAGGGTGGGACATCCACCATGAAGCGGTGGCGCTTCGCCGATTGTCGTGTGGCGCTATGATAGGACGATACCATGAAAGGACTAGAGGAATCAAGTTGTGCAATTGCCCAGTATTTTCACCGAAATATATCCGTTAAAAATCGAAATGCTTGCAACTTTGCGTATGTATTCGAGGCCGGGCCTCTACAAACGCATCATTGTTGATGAGCTTCTTGCCACGCCTCTCGATGTGTGCTGGTGCGTCTAGCTGGTATTTAGCCAAGCCGTCCCAAAGATGAGAACAGTACTCCATACAGGACCAAACCTGTGCTTGGTTTGATAACTTAGCTTAGGAAATTTTGAAGACGCGCTAACTAAAATAAATGTTTTCTACTTTCATATGATTGCCCCATGGCGTAAATGATTAGCCTGAATCATTACTTATATTGAATTTGTTGCTACATACTCCTTGAGAGAACAGACAGAATACATTTATACATATATGTAGTTAACATCAACTTTATATTAACGCTTTAGAATATAACCATGGTTGTGCATTGTTTTGCCAGAATCTTTCGAAATTTCATATCTATCTGTACCTACACGTACGTTATCATTAGTGATATAATGCTGCAGTACTCACCCAGTGGGGGGGTCGTGGCTCCCGTGGCACCGCACATCATTCACACTGTTTGCACTACCAATGTAAGCTTTATTGTCATATGCATAGTTTTTAGATTTGTCTAAAGCTTTTGTTACTCTCAGATCAGGTGTTTCCTTAATAGAGATTTCTTGGTCAGGGTCCTTTCGTTTCTTGCTCCTCATAGTATCCACTTTCACTTCACTGAGCTCGACATCCTGTTCTGGTCTCGTCTTCCTCGACATGGTGGCTAGTGCGTCCTTGCGCATGCGACGGCTCACTGATGTTTCTGAGTTTTTAACCATATACACATACTCTTATCGTTCGTGATACTGTTATCAGTAGGACAGGTGTGTTCTATTGTATAACGTTGATACTGGTTCGCGATTTATTAAAATTATTTTGTGTTTTCCGTTTGTTAGGTAGCGTGACGTCACAATAGTTTTTTGGTGATTGTAATGTTAATCGTTTGTTAGTCACAGGGTATTAGTATGTATGTATAAAGTGTATAGCAACTTTGTTTTTAGTTTTTATGAACCTAATTATTGATAGTCTAGGGTAGTAGTGGAGCCCAGAAGACACGGTAGTGCATACGGTGGCGGTGTGCCCTGCGTGGGCGTGTTCTCAGGGATGTGATTGGCGACGGCGCGGCGACCTCTCGCGTCCGGCTCTGGTTCAAACCATGGTACAGAGCGACTGGGACTGGGATGCCATCTCCTCCTAATGCGAAGCAGTCATGCTAGCTAAGGAGGAGGCGAGGCGCGTGAGGCGAGAGACATTCCGGGCGTCGGAGATCGTCTCGCGATCTCTGGCCACCGCAAGTATGGGCCTGCGGACAGCAACCACGGATAAATCGCCCCCCGACTCGTGTTCCGCTCACGCCTCGTAGAGTCATCAGACCACCATTGATGGGGAACAATAGGACTGATGCCAATACGGAGCCACGTAGGACTTCGTGTTGCCGGGGCTCCGGCTCGAATTGCAGGAGTAGGAACGTTGTGGTTTTTAGTCAGTAAGAGCCTGACACTCCCTCCGCCTCACCGGAACGTGAGAAGTTATTAGATGATTTAGCCCCTTAAAACATAACATAACATCACGCCTTTTTATCCCGAATAGTACATTACCATCCGGTATCCGGCCGGATATTAAATATCAGCCGGATAACCGGATACCGGATAGTAACCGAATATTCGGTGCATCTCTAGTGCACACAGACGTAACCCCAACTTTTCACTATTTATGTTATGAGTCCCATGTAATAGGGGGTGAGCCTATTGCCATATACCGGGCACAATTCCAGACTCCGTGCTACTACTGAGATTTTTTTTAAACCCAGTAATACTTTGCCCGACCCGGGAATCGAACCCGAGACCCCTTGCCTGGCAGTCGCACTTTCGACCCCCAAAACAAAAAAGAAAAATCGGTAGTAGTAGTAGGAGGGTAGTTAATTTAGCGTAGCTTTTCTCATTATTTTCCGTGAGTAAACTGGTATTTTTAAGACTTTGACTGCCAATAAAAAGCTGTTGAAGGTAAATCCTCCGCTAACGCCGGTCACCGGTGACCCCCATGGCGTTCAACGTGTTAATTAAGTAAACACTTTTTTGCTGATAGTACAAAAACTAGAATGGTCTCATTACATTGCTGTTGGCCGAAGTCCAAAGAGTTGGTCGGAACATATTTTCGAACAGTTGGATTTCAGTCAGTGCACACACACACACCGGAGCACTGACTTCGACCGGAGGAGTGGCGATACTCAGTAACGAGGGGTCGATGAAGAATATTAATTTAAATTATCAACTTTATTTTTTTTTTATTTTATTTTTTTTATATTTTAAGTTGTACATATTAATAGTCGCAAAGTAGTATTATATTTTAATTAATAATTATGAAAATTATTATAATCAACTGTATTGTATTGACATAAAGTCGAAAATGCAATGAATAGAGACAAATTAGAGTAAAAAAAAAATTATGAACTTTTAAAAACTCATTGACTCTGCATTAACCCAACATCACGCCTTTTATCCCCGAAGGCTAAGAGGCACTGTACAATGTTATACTCCGAAATCAAAAACTCATTTAATTTACACAATTCGAGACTTGAACCCGAACTGTTTGGCATTCGCATTTACGACCATTCGATCTATCAGAGTCTTTGTGGTTGCTTATTAATACTTTAACTGCCAAGTTTAAATTGGTGAAAGTCAAACCTCCACTAGCGTCAGGCACCGGTGACTGACGTGGCGCTATAAGGGTTAATTGTTATTTTATGGAATAGGGGTACTTATCTAGTCTAAGGCATCCTTGATCCCCTGGACACCTGCAACACCAGAAGTTGCAGGTGGGTTGCCGGTCTTTTTCATGGGAAGGGGGGAGAGTTTGCCTTCACACATTACTTTATTGCATTAAAACTCCATCGTCTTATAAAAAGTAATTTATTTCATAAATAAGTACTAGAATTATTTACATAATTACACAGTTTACAAGTAACATGTCGCCCGCGACCATATTTACATTAATAACTGATTTTCGACTTTATACATGAAACAATAAGGTTGAAAATCGATTATTATTAGCAGCACATACACTAAAAGCTCGGGCAGTATTAGTTTACTAACATATTATACATTTTTAATAAATGTGTTGACTCTGATTATTAAAGTCTAACAAATTGTAATATGAACAGTTTTCCAGTGACGTAGTACACGAAGTACACATCAAGCTATGCAAAACCAGTATAAACTGACCTTTGACTGTGTTGAAATGTCATACAAGGTGAGACCACGATATACTGGTTAAGTATAGCTCGATCAGTAATTGTGAGCACCAAACCAATACCAGCGCATTCTTTTTATACCTGACCAAAGTTCTAGAATTTATTGAAAGACACTTCAGTCACAATACACTTATCAGTCCTGATAAGCAAACAAAGCATAGCTATACGAAGCTATCGAAAATCCGCAAAAATTTTAAGGTTATAAAGCATGTCATACAAGGTGAGACCACGATATACTGGTTATGTATAGCTCGATCAGTAATTGTGTGCACCAAACTAATACCAACGCCTTCTTTTTATACCTGACCAAAGTTCTAGAATTTATTGAAAGACACTTCAGTCACAATACACTTATCAGTCCTGATAAGCAAACAAAGCATAGCTACACGAACCTATCGAAAATCCGCAAAAATTTTAAGGTTATAAAGCAAATTATTTCAAACTAATCTGAAAATTCCTTATCAGTATGTTATCACTTGGCAAATGCTCGACAAACGTATATCTAGGTCACTATTGCTATAATCTTTTTCAAATTATTTTTTCTGTGACGTCATGGTTTCTCTTTAGCTTGCTATATTGAGCAAACGTTAAATTTATAAATCTAAAGTAAACCCCCCTGCTCAGTCTCCCCAATCCCCGAATCCCCCACACAAACCTCAAATTCCCAATACCCAAAAAGCCGGTAATGCACTTGTAACGCCTTGGTGTTCCAGGTGTCCATGGACGACGCCGCCGATTGCTTACCATCAATATATCCGTCTGGTCTTTTACCGGCTTATGCCATAAAAAAGTCCTTCATACTTGTTATTCGTATTTAGGATAAAATTGTCCATATTTAATAATAAAATGTCACTATAATTATATTAATAACACTTTAAACGCCCTGGGGGTCCACGGTGACTGACGAAACTAGGGAAGGATTTGCTTTTAACAGTTCTCTATAGGCAGTTAAAGACTTAAGATATCTGTAGTTTCAAAGTTCCTAGATACTTTAGATATCTATCCACCACCTGATCCGAATTTCATCCCGATCCGTTCAGCCTAATTAACGTGTGTGAGTGACAAACATACACACACTTACAAAATTTATTTTTACGTCGTTTCATGGTATTTTAATATTTTTATCAAGAGGTATGAAACTTGTCATCTCTACTCCTTATTCCATAACCTTGTATTCTTACTTAACCAGCCTATAAACAAGGTATAATTTATTATTTGACTTTTCAGTAAAAAAATCAAAAGTTATGTCAGGATCGTACCAATTGGCGTTCCGTAGTCTCTGCCTACCCCCATGGGAGACAGGCGTGAAGTTATGTACGTATGTATTATATATTTATATTATAGCGTAATATAAACACAATCATATCATGTTCTGTGTCTTAAATAATAAGATCTTAATAATATACACAAGCAGACTCCATCAAATCACAATAATGCATTCTTAAAGAGAGTTAAATACTCTACAGAATTATAGTCCATATTTGTTCTCACTATGGTTCAAAATAGGGCAAAGTGTCTGTCGTTGTTTCCAGGGAGGAGAGGGCCTATTATCTCATCAGGATTCTGTCCCGTGATGATTAAGGCCAAAGTTATGATGCCCCCGACTAAAGACATTCCTAATAAGACTCCTATTCCGATTGCTAAGATTTTCTTCCCGTGTGACCACTTGGAGCAGGCCCAGTACTGCTCGCGGTAGGTGCTGGAAAAAAGAAAGGTTTTGATTAGTAAATAGCTTTATCTGGTCGACAATCTTACATGGTCTATGATATATAATATAATATAGTATTGGCAAGCTATAAAACATCACGCTATGGTCAATAAGAGTCGAGTCTAAAAGCGCACTGGAGCTAATTGTCAATATCCGGATAATGTAGTGGTCTACGGTATTGTTAATATTTATTGTTTTTTATATTAAAAAAACTAGCTTTTACCCGCGGCTTCGCTCGCGTCATAAAAGGATACAAGTAGCCTATGTGACATATACCAATACACACAGCGCAATCTACACCAATAATTTCGTTTCCCTCTAGAATATCAAATTTTTCCGGGATAAAAAGTACCCTATTATTTAATCCAGACTTATAACTTTATGTCTGCAAAAAATCAAAGCAATCGGTTCAGTAGTTACGGCGTGAAAGCGGAACAAACAAACAAACTCACTTTCCGATTTATAATATTAGTAAGGATTACCGATACTGTTGTTTTTTGTTATCCCTGAATAAAATTATATAAAAATATGCCGAATGTATGCTTAGCAAGAAAACATAGTAGATCTATATTGCATTGTATTGGCACAATAACAAACACTGCCTTACGATAACTAAGACTGACCGATATCTTATCATCAACGAGTTGATCCACTACTTTTACTGCGGAAAAAATAAGAAATAGGACATAATACACGATTTTTATAAATTTCATCTTCCCAAAAGTCTAAAGCTCTACTTTTGAACCCAGTACAAAGGATCAATAAAGCCTGCATCCGACCCTGGACCTTTAGCCAAACGCCACTTTAGCGCTTGTCTACAGAAAGAGTAGAAACCAAAATGTCTAGGGATGACACTGACCAGTTTCAAAATTTACGTCAATTCCATATCATTTGGTTTTCTATTCTACAAGTAGACAGCTACAGCTAGCTACAGCTGCTGATTAGATACTCTTTGCTATGTAATCATGATTGCTAATTAATATTCAACCAACCAATAACTAATAAGACCAATGCAATGCATAATTTGAAAGACATTGACATTGAATATCGTTTTATTAAACTGTTATTAAACAGAAAAATATAATGGACTACAGTCACGATGGCTAAAAATTGCAAATTAGTTTATTTTCCAGGTCGTTTTATATCGCACCGAATCGATAAGATAAATGTTATGATCGAGTCATCGATTCGCGTGTCATGAAATATTTAACTACCAGGAAAATTGTTAAAATGACCATTTAGGTACAATAGACGGTAATAGACACGCATTTTAATCCTGATGAGGTCAGCTAATATAACCAAGGGCACCTAAACCCATTTTGGTAATTTTTATGAGAGAAGAAAAATCAAGTTCCTTTTGAAAAACAAAACATAAGAAATGGACTCAAGGGTGGACCCGACAAAACACCAAAATCACACCCAAAAACGATATAATAAAACCAAGTCCGAAAGCCAATAAAGTATTTTTATTTTTTTGTAACTGTGACACAAAAGTGAGTAGTTACTAATAATCTAAGCTTGAGACTTCTCTAGCTTCTCTAGTCGAACATATTGAAGTAACTTTACTTCTGCCACTATTTAGGTATTTTTTAGAAAATGTCGCTTCCAGATATAATATTAACAGATAAGAATATAATTAAAAAGTTTATGATAATATCTTGGTTACTTTGTACGTGTATTTAAATCAACATATCTTCGTAATCTGCTTATATTTATGATTAATTGTGTAAATATCGCTGTTGCTAAATTGATTTAAAGCCAACAGCCAACAAACAATACATCACTGCTATAGATAAATAAATACTTATCTAGTAAGGACTAAGTACCTATAAGTTATATTTATCGGACTACAGGAAAAATTATCAACCAACAACCTTATGACACTCAAAATCAGTCAAAATTTTTTGCACCCAAAACGGAACCCTGCGAACTCCAGTTTTGGTTTTACCTAAACATGTGTAATTTTCGCTCAAATGTATACATAATACAAGAGAACGATGAAGATGAAACTGTAACCACTTAAAGTCCAGACTGGGAAGGAGCAGAAAAGTTGAATGATAAAACGAGGGTTAGAATAGTTAAGGGGAATCCCATCCGAATTTGTATTGTGCAAGAATAAAGTAAAAATGATAAGATAGAAAACCGCGTCGTCACTTGTTTGCCGACATTGAATATTTTTCAAATAGCTTAATTTAGAATTAGCTTGATCCTGAATCCTGCCCGATTATTTATCTATGCCACCAAGGCAACAACATAGTTTCTAAGCTATGTATGATATGTATCTAAAACCTATCATTTCTATTTGTGGCCATGACCTTTCAAGCTATCTAAAACCTTTTTCATAACTCTGGATTTCCTATGATATCTTTCGGTAATACCTATGATATGGTATAAATTATGTCAACTACTTAGTTATTACAACAGAACATGATACTAATTGTAATCAACAATGACCGATAGTTCAATCTCATTGCTAATGATAAAAAAAACTACGCAATAGTTCAAGAATTTACCAACCTTGTTATTGGTTGTTGACATCTTCCTTCGTTAACACTGTTTAGGCTTCCGACATATGCGTTATTAACGTATACGTAGTCTGTGGATTTACTGGAGCCCTTAGGCTTGCCTTTTGTGGTCCCTTCGTAAGGACCTGCGGACTGTGTGTTGCGTCGTTGCTTGTGACGTGTGGGGTCTGAACTGGTACCACTGTGTTCGTCCCTTCGTCTCCTTTGTTGTCTCACCATATTTGCTTCTTCATCACTGAGGTCGGCGACAGCTAATCGCTTCTTATGTCGCATCACATGTACATTAGCAACGCCATGGTCTATATTGTCATAGTTCCTACGTTTCTTGTGATCTCTCATGTCTACACTGTCGTCACTGCTCTCAGTCTCCGGTCGCCTAGCTTGTATCGCACCCACACGCTCAACACTACGTTCAACATCTCGCTTCTTCCGTCTGCCGCCGTCTAATCCATCGTGACTGCTGGATCTGTCTCGACGCGACTTGTGTCTGGTTTCGTCACTGTCTACGTCTCTACTCGTCTCACTTGTGCCTACGCTCAGTTCTTCTACACTTTTGCCCTTACGACGACTCTTGTGTTTAATAAGCACGTCTACTTTCACGTCACAAAGCTCCACTTGTCCACTAGACAAGGAATCCTTCTTCGGCATCGTCGAGTACGAGCGTTTACATGAACATAAAACCAGTTACTGAGCGTACATATACCTTTTTATCGTTTGTGATAAAGTAATCAGTAGATAGGGGTGTTCCTATTTTTTATGTCTTTTGATAATATTGATACTGTTTTGCAATTTATCTCACAAAAATTATCCATCGGTTATCAGTGTTGTGATATTGTATATTGAGCTGCGGATTGTGGAGTTTAATACAAACTGTCAACAGGTGGAATCTTATCGAATGTTCCTAGAACCGCTTGCTCTATTGTTGTACTCACCAGTTTGATCAAAGTAGAAGGAAAGTGGTCCTTTTATCACATCAGCATAACTCTATCCAGACACGCCTGCCATGTGTTTGGTTCCTGTTATCTTACATTAACTGACCTAGACTGCATCGTCTTATGATAAGATATCGCGATACACCAAATAGTTTAAAACTCCAAAATAACCGATGTGTCCTTCAAAGTGATTAATTACTTTTAACCTTCCGTAAAAACACTATCTGTTTCCAGATAAAGCATAAGACTTTCAAAATGCTGCAAGACCTTTTTTTGATTCGTTGTTCGGGTTTCAATTCACCAGTCGTTCACTTCGATTATGAGTTAGCAAAAAAAATATATTCGGCATGCATTGCTTTTACTATAAACACGCAAAGATCAAATTATTCTTGGTATCTCCAAGAAAATTGTAGAACCCATTCGTGTAACAGGATGAACAGAGAGAATTTCTAAATCAGTCTTCCGTTGAAGGAAGGACAAGTCCAAAAAAGGCGTCAGTATTATTATACCTGGATTCCAGAGGAGCTAATTAGAAAAATGTCTCGTTAATTGTGCAATGACGCGACCGGTAGCAGTCGGGCGCCTTGTAAGGGCCCACTAATGAGGAGGTCGTTACTTTTTGTTCGCTACGGCGTTTGTTACCGCGAAGTCGTCAAAAATGTCGCTAATAGTGCCACTGTTACCGTATATTTCCTTGAAAGGATTAAAGGTCTCGGGTAAAGTGTTGGAAATTTTTAACTCAAAATTTTCAGTAAAACCTGTACCTATGTACGTAATGGAGGAATCACTGGAGGAAACACATCATGAAGAGTCGTAGTGTCTCATTATGATATTATATTGCGGTGAGTCCGCAAGGGCGTCCCGGGTCACGGCCACAGGCAAAGGAGGAACACCGCGATGGTTTTAGCCGATAAGGGTCCGGCACACCACCCCGTCGTCCTCAAGACGTGAATCAATGAGGATTTTCATCGCTTTATAAAAAAAATGATGTAACACTACATTCTAGATAGGTATTGTTTAAAATTACAGCGTAGAGCAATGGAAACAAAGATTTTCTTTGTAGTTTGTATGCAGAACTTTCTACAGAAAAATTGTCTTTTGTGGCATAACTAGATCTTCTTCATATATCCTCCCCTTATCAGTCGTCATCCTATCACAAACTCCTTTCTCCTCATTTTTATACCAATTACATAATCAATTTTTCTAAGCCGTACTTTTTTCTTTAATTTTACAAAGAATTTGCTATGACTGAATTCTTGGGAGCGTCTTATTTAAAGTCTAGTAATTTATGCAAGTGCAAAGTGTAGGTACAGCAGTAAATATTGTTGAAAGTAAAAGTATTTGCGGAGTAGATATGGAACATCTGTGCTGCGGTGCTATCGACTGATTAGATTACATCCCTATCGCGAGCGAGTACGCAGCATTATACTATCACAAAGCATTCTACATACACCTGATTAAATTACGTTTATACAAATAAACAGTTAGTTTCTGATGTATTGAAAACATTAGATAACGTGATGTCTTTAACAATTCTGGGCCAAACTCCGTTAGCCTTTGAAGTCATCATATTTGAACATTATTCGGTGTTCACGCCTTGATAGTTATTTATTTTCTAAAATTACTTAATTGCTGTTTTTGTAAAGACATGTGGTCTCAGTTAGTTGTCAAAATCATTTATGTCAATTAGACGAGAAAGGCACTTCTGAACGTCAAAAAAAAAAAATTAAAATTGAAGCTATTTGCTCAATCCAAGGTGTAGATTCCTATGGAGAAGAACGAGCAAGAAACTCCATAGGTTACTCTTTTTCAATCATGTTCACAATATAATTCTCTAGGTACATTAATGCGTTTACAATTACTTTTACACCCAAATTCATATTCAAGTCACAAATTGTGCAAAGTACTTTTGAGTTTTACCATTTAGATTTTGCCTCTCCTTTAGTAAGTAATAGATGTGATATTATGACCTAGGTAAACAACCAATAGACCGTAGCTGAGTTACTGATAGTTGGCACTAATAGTATTTATGTTAATATCTTATTCAGTCCTATATTTATCAATTTCCAGAAAATGGAACTGCTGCATGTGATTATCAAGTCAGGGCCTTCTCCGCGACCCCTCGCCTGGTCGCTGGAGGTCTCACCATCCGAGGATGGAGACGACTGGAGGATGATCAGAGCATTTGGAGACAGGGACCACTGTCGTAAGCTCTGGGACCTTAGGCCTGAGAGAAGACGTCGGAAGGCCAGAGCAGCGAAGAGAACGAGTAGAGCTGATAAACCTGCCTGTTCTACGCAATTTGCTAGTCCGAGGCCGCTTGAAAATGGAGAGGTAGATATTATTCATATTATTCCTTTTTGGTCGTTGCTTTTGTTTTTTCTGTCTTAGGAGTTAAAAAAAAGTTATCGTGTGGTGGGAAATCATAAGCTGTGGTGCCGCAGGGTGCGGCTGATTAAAAACAAAATGGCCGAAAACCATCAGCTGTAAATTGATCTCATTTTATGTTCTATTGTTTTGTATGAAATACTTTGTTCGCGATTATCTCACAATTGGCTGAACCGATTTTGATGTGGTAAGAAAAATTGAAACGATATTTGGTAAGATATTTTCATTTTGTTGACGTTCAAAAGTGCCATTCTGGCCTAATTGAAATAAATGATTTTGACTTTGACTTGACTTTGACTTTATACTTTAACTTACAGTTTATTTAACTTTACAGATGCATGTTGGTGTGGGTGAGGGCGTGGTTGCGCGTCGTGTGCGTTTGTCGTTCCGCGCTGCGCACGCGTCGTCCGCGAAACAACAGTACTACACAGTGCGCGCCCTCACTATCGCTGCGCGGTGTCTGTGCCATGGACACGCCACTAAATGTGAAGTAAATGCCCAGGTTTGTATAATAACCATGTAAAACTAGCCTGAAGAAATCATTATTATACACAAATTAAATATTAATTACTCCAAGTCTGAATGTGGTGTGTTTATGAACGAATGTGAAGAATAAGCACTAAGATCTTCGAACAGTTTTTTTTTATTTAATGTTTTTTAACATATTTACGTCTTACAAAACGGCTCGAAACATTACGAGATGACTTGAGTAGTTTTGAATCACGCTGGGGGCTCGTATTCTGATTAGTTTTAATTTTTTTATGTTTTATGGCCGACGTATCTCTATCATATGTTGGTGCATTTGTTTCAGGGTGCAAAATGTGAATGTGAGCACGGTACCTGCGGGGCTCACTGCCAGCGGTGCTGCTCCGGAGGGTCCTGGTCTCCTCACGAACCGTGTGATGATGGAGAGGAGAAGGCTGAATGTTCCTGTGGCGAGCGTGGGGCCTGCTCCTATGATGATACAGGCGCCATACTTTGTGTCAATTGCACGGTAATTTCTAGTTCTATTTAAGTTTTTAAATGGGATAGTTTGTGATAGATGGAACATTGTTACTCATTTGTTAACAACTGAACTGAGGCTTTAGTACGAGTTTGTTTTACGCTTAAAGTAATCGTAACGAGTACGCGTTCGGCGCTATGATTGGTTGGTTCATTGGCGCCGTTTCGAATGCTTTAAACGTAAACCAAAGGCCTCTGATTTGAATGACATTAGGCAGATGTATAGATTATAGTCTAGTTTAGCATTTAGCACAGGGTTTTTTGGCCGGTAATGCGGAAACAGAAGCTGGTCAGAACAGAAGTCCCACCCTTTGTTTAATGTCCAAAATATCTAGGCCCTATCCATTTGTCTGCTTTTCCTGTGTAAGGAGGCAACTTAGGTAATTATCTAATTTGGAGTGTTCTAATTCTTTCTAATTTCTTACACCACAGTCAAAAAGGTCTACGAAAAGGTAAAATTGGAATTTTTTACCAATTTCACGTAGGTATTGTTTAGTAAGATTGTGTCGAAAATGCGTGATATCGACGACTGGTAGATAGGCGAATGATATCGTTTTGTTACGTTCATGTTTATTATTAGGTTATTATGTAAATCTGAAAATTGTTATTTATTCCACAATCGACGTCTTGAATTATTAGGGTACTATCCTAAATTTTATTTTAATGTCCGTCTGGTAGATTATGTATTTTAAAATATTAGACACGTATTATTTCTTTTCTTACAAAATTAAATATTTTCGACAATATATTGATTTGAAATATCGTGTGACGTCATGATTTACTACATTTTAAAGGGTATCGTGACGTAACGACCTCCCACTTCTAAACTTAACTCCATTTTATCTAGGTATTATTTTCTTCTACGACAAAATGGAAAAAATATATGTCTAATATTTTTTCGTTATCTAACTGACGAACTAACTACATTTTAAATTTTCATACACTGTCTACACTACCCAATTATTATATATTCGGCTGACTCACTGTTTGACGAGGAGCCCGACTAGTTTCAAGCCATGCTCAAGGCTCATATGCATGAACAGCATTCCGCGACACGACACCGTTGTGTAGGTCTCACGAAAGTTAAGTAATATAAACAATTAACATCTTGTTAGATCATGTTGCTACATGGTTCTACAGAAAACATCGTGAGGGATTTTGACGTACCACGTTCCGATAGCTCAAATTCAGGTGATAAAAATGAAATGATAAGCATATAAAACAATGCACATTTTTATCCGTGAAACTTCAGGAAATTACGTATCAAAAATAAATAACTAAAATGATAACAATTGAAACACCTATCGCCTCCCTATCCTCAATCTTCTCCAACCCCCAGCAGCACACTTGTAAATGCCCAGGATGGCTAAGTAAAAGTGAAACTGCAGTGTAAGATCATTTTTACTCTAGTAGTAGAATATATTATTTTCCTGCCAATGATGATAATGAATAATTTTGTAACAAGATCCAAGGCACTTTGATGGTGTCCCTGAGTCCCTGAACTTCTTAGTTTCGATGTTTTTTTTGCTTGATCACTATTACAAATTCTGGCTAGGAGAGTTTGCAGTAGATCAAGTAAAACAAGTGAAACAAGTGAATTTATTTCTGCAAATAGGCTACAAGACAGCACTTTTACATGTCAATTTTATCAAGCGAACGATGAGGTCGACATTTCCTAACTGACTACTCTGAGAAGAAATGCCGAAACAAACTCAGGGGTCCGTCTCTTAAAGTCCAGACAAATATGTATGAAAGATTATGTGTGAGAACCGTGCAAGTTCTTTCTGTAGTGGCCTTTTGAGGAAAGAATGTGATGTAAATCTTAGTAATGTATATTGCAGGAGAATCGAGCGGGACCCTTGTGTGACAGGTGCCTGTTCGGGTATTACAACGCTCTGCCTGATGGACCCTGTGTGCCGTGTGGCTGTGACCCTCAGGGCTCTGATGGTACGTACTGGGAGATAATTTCCTTTATGACCACCTTATTTACACCCATAGAATCAGGAATTTCTACTCAGGAGAAATATGGTAATAGAATTCAAGATCACATGCTATGGTATAACGAGAATCATGGTTAACCAATTTAATACTATGTTTAAAATTAACAAGGGAAAATTTTATAAAACTTCCTTTAACTTCTTACAGGATCTTGCAAATGGGATAAGAAACAAAGGCAGGTGACCTGCAGCTGTCTGCCAGGGTTCACAGGCTCACTGTGTGACTCTTGTGAGGATCCTACGGTACAATTCCCAGATTGTCAGACCCCAGTGACCCCGGCCTGCAAGTGTGACCCCCGCGGTGTTGTGGACCCCGACCGAGTCTGTGATGAAGTCTGTGAGTGTAAGGTAAGTGTGTATTCATAAATATTATTATCATGAAGTCCGCGTTCGGCTTTTTATGGAATAGGGCAGCAGACAACAAACAAATTACCTGATGGTAAGAAATCAGCGCTGCCCACGGACACCAAGTTTATTGACGGCCTTTGGGAGTTTTAGGGGGTGAGACAATTGAGTTACCTGAATAACAGGGCGGAACTAATCACAAGCGTAGTTTTACGCTTCTGATTAGTACATACATTGGGCTATAATAATTATGCACGATCATTATTAGATCCTTATTTTTTCTATGCCAGTTTAGGTATTAAATGTCTATAATGTTTTATGTACAAGTCCCACAATTATTAACTAAAAATCGTGGGTTACTAAGCTCTACTAGTTTCGAACCACAGAGAGGTTCTTCCTCATGAACAGCGTGCGCGGTTGCGACGATGTCGCGCAGCCTACTGGTATGTCTCACGATAGTTACTATATCTCACAATTATTCTTTAATTTCAGAGCAACGTGGTAGGTGAGCGATGTGACGCGTGTGCCCCGGGCCACTTCGGTCTGTTGGCTGAATGGCCGACTGGCTGCAAGCCCTGCTACTGCTCACATGTCACCGACACCTGCACCCTCGCCTCGTCTGACGACCTGGAGCCACCGAGAGATGTCAGTATACTCTCGACCAATTTCAAGTTACGCTAAGGGCTCATATTCATGAGCAGTATCATCAGCAGCGCGACGCGACGCGAATTTAATGTGTCTTACAGTTACGATAACAGGTTAGACAAAAATATCACATGATACAATAGTTAAGTCTTTCCAGGTTATACTGCCCCTTGGTGAAGCGTGGCTGATCACCGACTCTCAGGGAAATGAAACGCTAGAGCCATCTGTCGACGAGCAAGGGAAACCGTTTGTCATAAGTTATGAGGTGAGCAATAAAACAAATACGTTGTACTTTTCTTGTATTAGATAAAGTTAATATTAATATTAAAGGGCGTTGTAACCCTGTGGAATTACCTCTCGAACAAAGAGTTGCCTGGTTTACGCTCTGAAAGGAGACCTTCCTGAAGCTTGTTCATTCTGATCATGTTCACGATTAATTCGCTTGAATATGGGAAATACAAACTTATTCGTATTCCAGGTAGAAGGGTGGGAGTATTTCTATTGGATGACGAACTCCTTCAACGGGGACCAGTTGGCTGCTTATGGTGGCGAAGTCCTGGCTTCCATCTACTGGGGCATAGTGCGAGGAGACACTGGAGGAAACCCCACCTTTGGGCCTGACGTCATACTCATTGGGACAGGCAAGTTTAAATTATTGTAGATCTATGTAATGTTGAAATTCTAATAACATGTTTGGGTGATGACGTCTTTTTATTTCTGTTTTGTATTTATAGTTTTATTTTTAATTTTTATTCAACAGATGGCACTATGCTAGCATACTCCAACACTAGCCACGAGACTCCTGGCAACCTGCAGATCTCCGTGCCACTGCTGGAAGGGAACTGGCGTGTGGTGGAAGATGACCAGGTGGCTTCCAGAACACAGCTGATGGATGTACTGCGAGACATGAAGGGTATCATGTTGAAGGCACATTACCACTTTGATCAGGATGAGGTATGTATATGTTATGTAGGTTGGTAGACATAGTAATATTATGAATGCGACAGTTTGTAAGGTTTTTATACCTTTAAGCTCGTGAACGAGCAGACTATTTACCTGATGATAACCAATCTACGTCGCCTATGAAATCCTGAACGATCAGAGGAGTTAAAGAGGCGTTGCTGGCTTTTTTGAGGTTAAAGGATTTGGAGATTGGTGATTAGAGTATTGGGGAGAATAGAGTAATAGGGGAAGGGTTAATTGGGACTCTGGTATTCTCACTCACATGGTATGGTCACATTCACGCAGGTTTTCTGTGAAAACGTGGTATTGCTCCTGTCGAATTGTCCTTTTCGTACACAAGCATGTGATTTGTCTGCTCGTTTGCATCCTATTCCATAAAAAAATTCGTACGAAGCCCTCAGGTGATGCGTCAGCTCATTTACCGGCCTATGTCATGACAATAAAAACTTCTGTGGCACACAGGTCCGCCTGGAGCGCGCGGGCGTGCGCGGCGGCGCGGGGCCGCGCGAGGTGTGCGCGTGCCCGCGCGGGCACGGCGGGCCGCAGTGCGCGCGCTGCGCGTGGGGCCACTCGCGCGTGCCGCACTACCAGTGTCTGCCGTGCGCCTGCAACCTACACGCTGCATGCGACACCGGTCGGTATACTTACTTATTTATTACATACCTACTAGCTACTTCCCCGCTTAACTCGGCTCCTATTAATCGTAGCGTGATATTTTGTAGCCTTTCTCGATAAATGCACTATCCAACACAAAAAGAACTATTCAAATCGAACTAGAGACTAGCGCGTTGAAACAAAAAAATCTTGAGCTTTATGATGGTACAAGAGTATATAAGATACTACAGATTATAACAATAAAATTACTAAATTAAGACTTTGACTGCCAATAAAAAACTGTTGAAGGTAAATCCTCCGCTAACGCCGGTCATCGGTGACCCCCATGGCGTTCAATGTGTTAATTGGCATGTTTTTCGGCTTACTCACGTACGGTTTGACGAGAAATTCGACTAGTTTCAAGCTATGCTAGAAGCTCATAATTATTATTGATGAGCACCATTCCTCGACACACGATGCGGTGACTGTCGCTCTGCCACTGGTTACTATTATAGGTAGCCAGTAATATTGAGTAGCTAGTAGCAACGAATAATAAATTAACAATACTTGTATTCTTAGCCAATATAAATAGCCTAAATAGGTAAACCTGAAGTGCAATGGAGGCTACAGTATTTTTGCTGACCAGAAGGTGCTAGTGTGTCGTTCTTCGTCCAAAATCGAATTAGCTTATATCACATCATTGGACGTTGAATATTTGACAGGTTGGTAGTGATTGGACAAATAGACCTATCGCTAACTTTCCGCCATCTGGTGAGAAAAAAAAAACAGTAGCCCCGATTGTAAGTATAGATCTTAGATTAAGATTATTACCTTCAGACAACTTATTTCTGACTTATTTAGACTGCTTCGTTGGCAGAGTGGTCGCAAGTGGGACTGCCGGACAAGGCGTCTCGGGTTCGATTCCCGGTTAGGGCAAAGTACTACTGTGTTTTAAAAAAAATCTCAGTGGTATAGATAGCACTGAGTTTAGAATTGTGCCCAATATATGACAATAGGCTTCCCCCAATTATATAGGACTCATAACATAAATACTGAAAAGTTGGTGTTACATTGTACAGTGTCATTAACTGCCGTAATGTGCGCCTCTGCCTGCCCCTTCGGGCTTCGATAAAAGCTATATAACTTATTTCTCTGTTGCAAGCATTTTAAATCAAACTACTTGAACTGGACCTCGTGATGAGACATCACTACATAGTATAAAACAAAGTACGCCGTTGCGTACTTTGTTTTATACTATGTATCTATTAAAAAAACCGCATCATAATCCGTTGATTATGATGCGGTTTTTTTAATAGATAGAGTGATTCTTAAGGAAGGTTTATATGTGTAATACATGCATATTGCACCCGTGCGAAGCCGGGGCGGGTCGCTACTTTCTGATAAATTACTATTATGCATTTGTGAGACTCATAATGCTATATCCGAATAATATATTTGTTTGACTATGTGACTCACCGATTCAATATTAGAATTATATCTGATAACGATTATTGTAATCGATATCACAACAAATCGTTTACGCATCACATCATGCCGGAATGCGTCACTCTGCACATACTTGACTCACCTTGGCCATCACTGATTACGTCACAATGTCATAATGGAATTACATAATTATGGACTATGATATGATAGAAAAGGTGATTCAGATCATTGACCTCTCTGTTTCCTCATCATTTGTTTAAAATCGTATTAATTTCAGCCTTTAGGGAACTTATTTAGGAACATCGACTTCATTGAACTTTTTTCACTGAATCCACGATTACGAAAAATCTACAAAATTTGTTCTTATAAAAGTAGTCTCTAAACATCTGAAATAAGGTCTATAACGGAGTGAGAGTAAAACAGTCAAGGGCGATCGCTCGGGGGTTTATATCATCCCGAACCTTTTAGCCGTTTTGATGTGATTGAGTAACAAACATACACACAAACATTCGCAATTATAATATTAGTAAGGATTAACTAAAATACACTGAGAAAAGCTCTATTATGTAGTTTCGAACCACAGAGGGGTTTATTTTTAGTTAATGTAGTATGTCTCACAATAGTTATTATAAAAACATTAGTAAGGATTACTGAAACGTATAATTTTTTGTCAGTGGATGGACCTTGTGGACCGTGCCAGCACAACACGACGGGTCCGCACTGCGAGCGATGTCTGCCCGGACATTACGGGAACCCTGTCCAAGTAAGTACAATATAAACTGAAGCCCATTCACACAAAAAAGAAGAAAGAAAGAGAAACCATTTATTACGCCACGACACACAACAAGAATACAGGTGCACACAAAAAGTCTATGCTGCGTCGCAGCGCAGAAGGCTGGAGCTCAGTTTTACAACGATGTAACAAACAACTAAATATAATTTTCAGACAAAAAAATAATGTCATGAATGGAACACGAATGTACCACAGTTTTCTAGTCAACATGATTATGACATTTATAACAATGAGTCAACGCCATTTTAGCGTTTTGCTCTCGCTCGGTACGCTTACAATACGTCGTCATATCTAAGGGACATATTAAGGTGAACCCGTGTAAACATGTATTTAGAGTCTGATTATCCTATGAACCGTAAAAGTATGAATAATTATGATTATTTTATTCTTCATGACATTCGCAATCTTTAACTAAGAAAATATTTATCTATCAGGGAGCGTGCAAGCCGTGCGCGTGTCCATTATTTGAGGCGAGCAACAACTTCAGCCCCAACTGTGCACTGGCCAGTGCCGAGGGGGACGAGTACGTGTGTACGCAGTGTCCTGATGGGTATACTGGAGACCACTGCGAGAAGTAAGTTACAACACATTCATATTGCAATGTAGGACTTCCTCAATGACTTCCAAATCAGATACATGGTTATTATTTTTAGTTCATTTAAACACCTCAAGTGTTTGAAAATGAGAACATGATATGGTTTTCCTGATTCGTTCGTCGTCCACAATTACACTTACCACCAATGACTTTTATGGGATGAATTAAAAAGAATATGTCTGTCTTTTCTTTTTATCTCCAAAGGACAAGACTGAAGGAAATCTTTCTTTCAGTCGTTGAAAATCATTTATCTTTAAACTTAACAACAACTTCTTTAAACTTACTTTCTTTTTATTTAACGCAAATAAAAAATATCTTTATCTTTATCTTTAAAAGTACAGTGTTAGATACTAATATTTGTGTGTAACAGTTGTGACTTCGGGTATTGGGGTTCCCCAACGACCCCTGGTGGTACCTGCCAGGCGTGTGAGTGCGGGGGCTCGCCCTGCCACCCCGCCACGGGCCGCTGTCTCACCTGTCCGCCGCATACTGAGGGCGCGCGGTGTGATCTCTGCAAGGTACAGTACTATATTCCCCACGACCCCTGGTGATAACTGCTAGGCGTGTGAGTTCAGGAGCTACTGAAGTTGACGTTGAAGATGAGTAGTAGTCTAAACTGAAAAAAAGTTATCTAAAAATTCGCAAAGCTAAATTTTACATTCCTGTGTTTTGTGTTATTATCATTCGTTATTAATAGACTACCGTGTTAGTAAATGATTGGTTTTGTGTACAGGAAGGCTATTGGTTCGGTGGCGAAGCGAGCAGTGCAACGAGTGCAGGTTGCATTGCCTGCGCGTGCGGTGCGGGCGCGCTGTCGGCCGCGTGCGACGCGCGCACCGGACACTGCGCATGTAGACCTGGCTGGACCGGCCGCGCCTGTGATACTTGTGTGCAGGGATACGGGGGTGAGACGATATCTTGGTATCTATATGTGTGCAAGTCGTGGTGATTTAGATGTCAAGGCAGCTTTTATAATATGGGGTTGCAAGTTTGAAACTTATCAAGTAGCAATGTGACTTTTCCAAGTTATATTATGATAAAAGTATCTTCTCAACACAGGTGTATCGGCGGGTTGCCCCGCGTGTCGCTGCGGCAGGGCGGCGCTGAACGCGACGTGTGACGTAGTGTCGGGGGACTGCGCCTGCGCACCCGGCGCCGCGCCGCCTACTTGCGACACGTGTCTGGATGAACACTACGGTTTGGATAGTACGGGGTGCAAAGGTAAGTGTAAACTTTATTTTATAGATGGCCACACTTTAATGTCATCGTGGTATGAATTGTTTTCGCGTTTTCAGTGCTGTTTATAGAATACGTTTTTAATAATGTCGTACATTTTTAAATGTCTTCAAGTTAATTTTCTTTTGTTTAAACATTTTCGAATATAGAAAAAAAATAATTACTTACCATTTTAAAAATTATTTCTTTCAGTTGAAGTAGTGCGCGCATTTGATTAATTTCTTTATTTCTTATAGTACACACAAACAAAACATTGTTATCATCTTTAAACACAATCTCGAAAGGTATTCTAGAATTATGCAAATGGACGATCGTACACAAAAGCATGTTTACGTATACCACAAACAAAAGTACGCGAGCACGCACTTAATGCCTGTAACCTAGGGCTAGACTCAGACTTACTGCTTATATCCTAGGGCTCAAACTTCACAAACTTGTAGGACTAGGTACACGTGCACTACAATTTACGTAATTTCTAAACGGCTTCGTACATGCCCTTAGAATATTGGCCAGTGATGCTCAATGTTGTAAAATACCATAGTGAAAGAGGAACTTACAAATAATAAGTGTGGGAGAGCCACGGCTTCACAGAAAACCGACGTGAAACAACGCTTACGTTGTGATTGGAAATCCCCAACAATCCGCAAATTCCTAATCCCAAAAGGCCGGTAACGCACTTGCAACGCCTCTGGTGATCCAGGTATGTATGGGCATCTCAGGTGATCCGTCTGAGAGTTTACCAGCTTATACCAAAAATAAAATAAATGTGGTATAAGACTAATGAAAGTTTCCAAAATAGATTCCGTCTTTCTGAATAGATACGATAGAAATACAGACAAGAGTGTTATTTATGTAAGTATTTTTTTGGATTCCCAACAAAAGACACATTACATGCTATAATGTAATCTACTATATATATACATATAATGTACGCCTTATGTTTGTTTAATTACAGGGAACCATGTACTGCAAATGTAATAATTAAGAAATTAGAATTAAAGTAGTTATTGAACATCTATTTATGATGAAAAACTGTAAAACCAATTTAAATTAAATTAGGTTAATACGATATGGTATAAGTTTAGTTTGGTACATTATTTTGGTCTATTTTCGCTTGAAAACTTTGAGAAACCTATTCATACCTACCGCGTCGATCGCGCCACCTCCAGCTATTTGTAGTTGGTGCACAATTGTACGTCATACACTGCGCGTGTGTTACGCCCGAACTTTTATACATATTGAATCAACCGGAAATGTATGCACTACTGTATGTTATTGTATTTTAGCCATTATCCGTGTAGTAGGGTTGTCCAGAGTTTGTTACCGTTTTGGTATTGAAAAAGAAAATTTTGGAAAAACCCTGAATTATTTTAACTTTCAACAAGCTTTTTGATTAAGTTCTTTTTATTAACTTCAAAAATGTCGTTTCCTTAAAACAATGATAGGTAGTTTACCTGAATATAATCACTTTACTTGACGTAACAGCTACCTTACTCTTCAGATACTTTTTACGGCCACACAACCAATAAAACAATCATTTTATCAAAGTGTTACATTAAAAAAGATGCGCCTGGGCAGAAGAATTCTTTCAGTTCAGTTGCCATGGCAACCCTGTAAGAAAATGTCGGAGGCCCGTAAATAATGTCGTCACGACACGACGTACGGACCCATTTGTTTTGATTACTCCAAATTGTTGGGTTCTGTATGTTTTGCTATGAATCATTTACATTCAGGTTTACGATAGTGACGTTAAAAACGCGTTTCAATTGAAGTTTATTTTCGTATAGCAATGTTATTAATTGACCTGAGATAGACGCTGGGGGGTCGTGAAGCTGTTAACGTGGTCACTTCTAAATAGTATTTTTTGGGTAATAATTAATAACACTGAAGCCTAATTTGAGGAGTGTACTCGAATCCTACATGACGACCACGACCACTCTGCGTAAGAGTGTAACAACTAGGAACAAGAATTCGAATCCTTGAATTTCAAATAAAAATAATATATTGATTTTATACATATTTATGGATGAATTTATCCTGAGAAGATACGTATGACGTGCCTTCTCAATTTAAAATGCGTTTGGCAACACACACACATATGTGTAAACATACCTAGTTCAAAAATTAAAAAGAACAAATCTACAGGGTGTAACTGTAAACGGAACGCTCCCAAAAAACGCCGATAGGTGATGGTAAAAAACTAGTTTTATTTTCAGAAAAAAGTTAGGAATTAAATGTTTCTTTTCTGTAATGACAGTTGTAATCAGTTGATTAGTTGAGTCTAGTCTTTGCATGAATAATACGAAAACAAAAAGACAAAGATAAAGATTATTTATTTGCAAAAACACGTGTGAAATATTAAAATATCATAGAATGCACATTATAGGTTGTACCTCTATAGATTAGCAGTGAACTTAGTATCAACGTGTTTGAACATTTCCGGTGTACAAATGTGGAATATATTATTAAATCTAATATTAAAAATAACGAACAAAAACGATTAAGATTGTAAAAACAATTTCTTTATGTCAGCGTTCCGTTTCCACCCTGTATATTTGTTGCAACTAACATTAAATTCGTCTATAAATCGTTGTTGACATAAAAGCACTGAAACAGTGAAACTAGGCGCAGGCGCAGTTTACACTGCATGAATCACGCGTACACTGGCGTGCATAAAGTGGACGCTAACCAGCAGTCGGTGCGCCAATAAACAGACCACAAACTGTATACAACTACACGTTGATATAAATACATTTTACACTTAAGTTCCTAAGTTATGACTGTTTTGTCGGTTTGTGGTTTCAATGGCTCCCCTAACCTAAGATAGGTGACACTTAAAGTCATTTTTGTTGTTACCGACCTATAAGTGACACCTAAGCAAGGTGTTAATTTAGGTGCTACGTTACGCTAAGTAACTTTTAGTTAAGAGATGCTTTAGAGGTAGTTGGTGAAAATTGCCATAGGTGTAAGCAGGTGAACTAGAAGTTAAAAATTCTGTTCTTAGTCGGGTCATATTGTAAGGTCATTTAAGTTTATTAAAATACGTCATCATCATCATCAACAAGCCTATAGATGCCCACTACTGAGCAAAGCCTCTTCTCACATGGAGAAGGTTTGAACATTAATCACCACGCTGGCTCAATGCAGCTTGACGATTTCAAACTTATAATTAGAAGTTATAAGTCCAGGTTTCCTCACGATGTTTACCTTCACCGTTTGTCAGTGGTGTTTGAATAATCTTAGAAAGTACATATAACTTGAAAAAAGTCACATTGGTACTAGCCGTTGGTAGTTTTGAACCTGCGTTTTAAACCTGGGGGCCACCACGACATATTAGGATACTTATCTCTGTATAAGAAGTACCTATATTTCTGCCGGTGTAAAGAAGGATGCTGGTTATCTTTAATCGCCTAATACCAAATAAGCGGTGCGCATGGAACTTCAAAAGATTTGCCAACCCACAACTAACATATGGCAAAGAGCAATAAAATCACAAACAACATGGAATGGTTTGCGAAAGTAGGTACATATAATACTATTAGATTTGAGTAAAGCATTTGACTTTGTAGATCATTCTTTACTCCTTTCAAAATTAGCTTATTGTGGAATTAGAGGTTCATCACTGTCATGGTTTCGATCATATTTGCAAAATAGAAAACAGCTTACTAGAATAACTAAATTTGACAAAAAAAGTAATAGCGTAGTAAAATTCGATTCTCAAGCAAGAGTCAACTATTTTGGTGTACCTCAAGGTAGTATTTTGGGGCCTTTGTTATTCCTTATCTTTGTCAATGATCTCCCACGTGCGCTTATACACGATTGTGTCTTATTTGCGGACGACACAACAATTATTTTGGATTGCAAAAATAGGGCTACATATGAAGCTGACATAAATAAAACATTAAATGATGTTATTAGGTGGCTTAGTATCAACAAATTAAAAATAAACATAGAAAAAACTAAAATTATTAATTTTAAAACATTTAAAAGCAAAACTATCGAACTAAATTTAAGTTATAATAATACGCTTATTCAGCAGATTCATAATGCCAAATTTTTGGGTGTAACTCTTGACTCTCATTTCACGTGGAAGGAACATATTAACAACTTATGCAAGAAAATTAACAAGTTTGTCTTTGCACTTCGGAAAATAAAAGACGTAACATCAATTCAAAGTTCCATTATGGTGTATCATGCATATATTTGTTCCATAATACGTTATGGTATCGTCATATGGGGAAACTCCTCTGAAATTACTAGGGTCTTTGTGGCCCAAAAAAAGTGCGTTCGTGCATTGTTTGGCATGGGATGGTCGGATTCTTGCAAACCCGTATTTAAATCTAAAGGACTGTTGACTGTTCCTAGCATTTATATTTACGAAGTGGCTAAGTTTGTGAAATATCATAGTTATTTGTTCGTTGCTAACGATAATGCTAACAGACGCTTGATCACTCAGCTGCCCCTGAAAATGCCCATACCTAAACTGGAGCTTTACAGAAAAAGTTGTGCATATATGGCGCCGCTCATATTTAACTGTCTGCCCCGAGGAATTAGCGAGCTGCCATATAAACCGTTTTGTCGTGCCTTACAAAAGTGGTTGGTTCAGGAGAGTTTTTATTCTACCCGAGATTTCCTAAGTAACAGTAGCTGTCGGTATGCAGCTTTTTAAATCATTGTATCATCGTGCTAATCAGTTGCCTCCATGTTTTTTGACCAAAATTAATTATAAATTGCTAACCTGACTTCCTGATTTGTTGTGACTATTAATTTATTGACTTTTTAGTATATTACAATTTGACTACTGATACATAATGACATCTTAATTTTATGACATCTCTAATTTATTTTCTGACTTTACCTGTTTTAATGTATTTGAATTGTTTCCAATAATAATAATAATAATTTCAATATAATTGTTCATTAATGCGACATAAATTAATATTGTTAATACAATTTTATATTTCTACACCGGTAACGGTAGTATGTGTGGAACTCTGTTAATTTTAAGATCTGTGTGCACCATGTACTGAGAAATAAAGGACATTCATTCATTCATTCATTCATTCATTCATACGGTAGTATACCAAATTTTATTTTAACACGTTAAACGCCATGGGGTTCACCGGTGACCTACGTTAGCGGAGGATTTGCCTTCAACAGTTTCTTATTGGCAGTCAAAGTCTTAATGTCCGTGTGGTAGATTATTTTAAAACGCTAA